GAACCCAGTACTGGTCAGTGTGATGGTTGCCATTTATTCTTGACTGATAATGACGTCAGCATGAATGAAACAAACAAAAATAACAAGTAACACAACTAACAAGAAAATAAAAATAAAAAGATTCCGCAAAGTAGGAGGAGTAAATTGTTGTACTTTAGTTAAGGTATTGGTGCGTCTCTCACATTCACATTAAAGGCCAGCCAGGCACCTTTGCTGAACTCATCTGTTATTTGATGCCTGTGTTTGTCCCCCACACTGCACTGTGAGTAAGAACACGACAGCCAGTGAAACTTCACACAGTGTGTGATGGGTGTTACTTCAGCAGCCCTGTCACAATAAATAACCGTTTAAGGACCCCTGGTTCAAACGTGGATTTGGGCCGTTCCTCACCTGCCAACCTGCTAATGTTTACATATTAAATCTGCCACCAGCAGGTTCCTGTTCAGTCCATCAACAGGGCTTTGGACTAAAAATAAATTATTTGGATTATGATGGTCAAGGATGCAAGGGACCAGGCGAGGTAGAGGCAGATGATCCAGTGTGGAAGAAGAAAGTTTATGATGGACTTAATTTATTTTCCCCTCAGACAACGTGTTCTCTAATCGAACTCTAACAAACAGATACCCCACCCTACACCTAACTCTAAACCAATACAAAACTCATACAGCTCTTTGGAGCGCTGTAAGAACCAGCCAGACTGTATTCACTTTCTAAAAATGTCCTTTCTCCAATGGTTTGAAACTCAAACTGGCTTAAAAGGTAGTCGTACACACATATGCACAGAGTCCTCTTTCTTTGGCTGAACTTGTGTGTCTGTCCTCAGGTGAGTGTGATGGTGGTGGCCTCAGGCCTGTCTGTTTTGGCTGCAATCATCATATCAAGTTACTCCTGTCTGACCCTCACCTATGGGCAGGAGGATAAAGAGGTCTTCCATCACCACAACAGTCCTCAAGTGGTAACCAGCACACACACAATCACTGTTTTAATCAGCGACTTATTTCTTGACAAAGTCAGTTGTAGTAAATAAGATCTGGTTGCATTTCATCAAGAAGGAACACGTCCTGCTGTTGTGAATGACCAGCTTGAGGTGCTTTTACACCACGAGTTTCAGGAACTTTAACTTCTTAAGATCATCTGCAGGGGTAAAGTGGTTGAAACATTCAATCTCTGTCTGCTCCAGTCTGCATGCCAAATATCCTTTGGGAACATACTGACCCCAAGTTGCTCTCCAGTACATCCATCGGAGTGTGAATGTTAGATAAGAAGTGCTTGTGCAAATGGGTGAATGAGGCAAGTTGCTTTGAGTGCTCAGAGTAGAAAGTGTGTTATAGGAACAGGTCCATTTATCACGTTCCTTATCTGAGGTCTCCAATTATTTTAGATTTGACATTTTGACACTGCTCACCCGCATAACCTTTCTGAATGTCCTGACACATTAATGTTGTTCAGCAAACAAACGAATCAAATTCCAGTGTTTTGGGTTGTTGTTGTTGTTTTTCTGTTCCTCTGAGTGGGTTGATGATTTACATATTTACCAGCAGCTCATGTTAGCATGCCTTTAAGCTCACATCTCTGGTCTGTTAGTGTGATTTCCAATAATGTCAGAGGCGTCCTATTGGAGAGGGAAACCTTGCTATGTGTTCTCCTGATATGATATTGACTCACATCAGCAGCACTTCTGGCCAGCTGTTTCACAGTAGTGCAGACACTAGGATGAAGCATTGATGTGTGAGCTGGTGTTGCTGCTAAGGGGCGTCAGTGCTGCCTGTGTCACATCCTGATGTTTTTTATATGCCCTCCTTTGTACGACTCTATATATGCAGACTTATCCACAGTTCATGAGTTGATTACACACAAACATGTCTTGTGGCTTTTTTTTTTGGGGTAGTTTGCTGAAATGTGTAACAAAAATGTCCAACACATGGAGGGATAAATGATAAGCGCTTTGGTTTCTGTGCTGGTGTTTCCACACAGCAGTGCTGTCACAGTGGCGTGCACCTCTACTTGTTTTATTATTTCAAAGTTCCTCCTCAGGAGAATATCAGATGTGTATGTATATATCAATAGCTTTGGCTCTAGTGGAAGATTATTTGAGATAATTTCACTCTGATCTCCCCACATTTCTTTATTACACACACACTTCATGGCTGTAACATTGTTCGTCTCCCCGCACAGACGTTTGTGCTTCATCGGATGGTGAAAGGTGCCAACGCCACCATCCTGCTAACCTGCGCCATCAGCCTGGTTTTCTCCTCTGTCATCGGCTACACGGGCTGTCGCAGCATCCCCTTGTGTGCCTGCTATGATGCCAGAACTGGACTGGT